AAATCCATATTAGGAACTGAGGCTTCATGAAGGTTGCAAATGGACACCAGGGGAACCAAAGGACCAGGCAGAAAAAGGTTAAAATGGTTAAGCTGGGTATAACTTTACAATGTTTATATCTATGTATATACGTATGTATGTAGGTTTGTATGTATGTGTGTGTGTGTGTGTGTGTGTAAAATATATGAAATGTAATATAACTTTATAATCTTAAGGAACTTTAAAAGTTTTTTACATGAACTGAAATATGAATAATTAATATCTGAGACAGTATACAGATTTCAATGGATAAATTATTAGAAGATGATGAGGAAAATAAAAAAAAAGAAAAAAACTAGACATTACAGAGTTTGAAGGCATGGGAGACAACAAAACTGTGGTTACTAAAATGGGAGTACAAGAGACAAATCAAGAAAAGGATCTGGACATTTAACAGTTGTGACCAGAAATGCTGGACGATGTTTCTTTATGGGAAGGAAAGGATCTGGATATGGAGCACTCTGATAAGAAATCCTGCATGATGCCTCTTTATGCAATTTACAAAATAGGCTGGTGAAAGCTTTGAAGACTTCTTCTAAATACCAAAGAGTGATGACAGATAAAATCCCGTGCTGCCCTGGGAAGGATTTAAAGGCCAAGATTGTGCAGAATAAAAAGAAGGAATATAAAGTTGGATTATCTGACCAGGGATACACTATTTCTCTGATATTTCTGGTAACTCCTAATGGACTTAATGCTGAACCAGGACTGAAAAGATCATTTCTGAATTGTGTATAGATAAAAGTTAGGCTTATAGATAAAAGTTAGGCTACAGAAGGAAGACTTTTTGTTTTTTTGTTTTTTTTGTTTTGCTTTTTTTAATGTGCAACTTTAAAACAGCATGAAAAGTTAGTATATTAGCTCACATTTGTTATGATAAAGGTTGAAAGCCACTTCTCTATTGCTGTCTTTGTTGCCTTTTTCTTTTCTCTTGTTTTGTTTTCTTTTTCTTTCCTGCACTTTTTCTTTTAGTTTGTATTAGTTTTTACTATGTTTATTAAAGCCTTTAATAAATTTATTTTTAAAAAAGCTAAAGCTGGTTCAGAATGTGGTGGCCCAGGCAGTTTTGGCCATGGCTCATTCTGCTCATGTGACCCCACTTCTCTGAAAGCTGCCCTGGTGACCAGCTGGCTTTGGGGTGCAATTCAAGGTGCTGGTTGTCACCTATAAAGCCCTTCATGGCATGGAGCCTGGTTATGTGAGGGAACATGTGTCTCTAGTTGTTTCTCTTCATCCAGTGCAATCAGGCAGATTGTGATGTTCTGGGTCCCATCCCGTAAGCAGCGACATCTTATCGGATCCAGGAAAAGTGTCTTCTCCCTCTTGACGGTTGCCTTGTGGAATGATTTCTCCCCAGGAAAAATGTTCCTCACATTGAGGAAGCTATTAAAGAGCTGGCTATTCTCCTGGGCTCTGGGATGGAGTGAAGGATGAGCCACTGTTGGATGGATTTTCTTGTTATGTGTTACATCTGATTCATGATTTGTGTGTGTGTGTGTTTTGTACCAGTTTGCCTGTTAAACTTTCCAAATGAAATTATGTTGCTGTCTTAATTTTCATGGCTTGCTGGAGGGACATAAAACTTTATTAAAGGCGTGCTTCAAAATTTTTGTCTTTATGTGTACATTTGTGTTATCAGCTGTATATCCATGTTTTCTGATTAAAAATTGCCAAATTATGTATCTTTAACTTTTAGAAAAGGTAAAGCAGACTAGAGTTTGAACGGTTCTTTTTTCCTGCTTTTAACGTGCTGATTAAAAAAAAAAACTCTACAAAAATAAAACCTTTTAGAAAAGGCAACAAAAACAAAAAACAAAAAAACCTCAAAACCAAAAAGAAAAACCAAAACAGATTGGGCCTTCAAAAAGATTCCTTTTTTTCTCCTACATTTAAGGTGCTGATTTTAAACACTTCATAAACATGAAAATGTCATTAAACTTTTATCAGTTTCATGATGCACAAAATAGGGTTTGCTTCCAAAGTACAATGAAGCCTCGGGTTCTGTTAATTATTCACTTTGCTTGGTTTTGATTTGAATCCATTTAGGATTAAATCGAGGGTTAAGTTACTCATTTCCTCTAGGGTTGATTAGAAGCTTGTTTTCTTCTTGATGGGAGTAGGTTCAACATGTTATATCCAGTAGGGGTCATGGCTTGGTGACATCAGCATCATTAGGGTTTTGTTTACTTTGATGATGTCACTCATTTATCAAATCCATAACCCCCATTAAAATTACCATACACTATAACTATTTATTCCTGCAAACCATACTTGCTTCCATATTGCTATATTTTGGTTTATCCATTGCCTTATGTTTCTTTCAGTTTGTAATCTCTTTCTTTCTAAGGATCTCTCTCCCGCCATAAACCTCTCAACTGAATTCTTTAGTTATTTTGCAATAGTTACAGTATTGTCTGAATGCTCATCCCTTTGTTACATAATGGTTTGATTAAATTCAACTTTGGTCACATAACCTCAGGATGTTGCAGAGATACAATTAGGGTGCAGGGCCAGCCAACTTGATAAAGGTTGATCATCACTGAAAACATGAAGATGTTCCAAAGAGATTGGTAATGTTCTCATGATATGTACATACGCATTTAAGATTCTAAAGAAAGAAATATAAAATTTACAATTAAATAGACATGAAGATAAATGTTCAACTGATTTCTGATCATTTAATATTAATAGAACAGGTCTTTTGTGTCTATCCTCTCCTTCCTATGTAAGTCCAGGAGGAATAGTTAAATCATTTAGTTCTTGTGTAATAGCAGGATTATAATGTAGTTATTGCTTGTATATTCATAACATTTGCTACATCATTAACTGACTCATGTAATATTGGTGACCACCTTGAAAAGTATTCAAAATCTCAAGGTGTGGTTTCTAGTACAACAAGTAGGCTATGGAGGAGAAAATGGTTGCAGACCCCTTTATCCTAAAGGCAATACCCTGGACTATTAGTGAGCAATTCCTACTATTTTAGAGATAAAGGTAGCTGGGTAATTAACTGGAAACGACCCTAAACAACAGAGGCATGAACTTCGGAAATTAGTGAAACATGCTGAATTAATAATTTCCAAAGCTAAGAATAAAACTGAACACAGGTTGCTAAGGGTTGACTAATTGGGTTGCTAGAGTCTGACTAATTGCAGAAGATGTATACAAGATTGCTTTATAATCCCCTGTCTACCTCTGAAAGGTGGGTGTAATTTTGTATTTTCCCCTTGTGCCGTATTACAGCAAAGCTTGTGAAAAGTGTGGCCTCCACTCACTGAAATGATCAAGTCCCCCCTCCCTGCCCCTTCAGCTGCTAATTGATTCATGCACTGGGACCACTTTATGCCAATCTTGAAAAATTTGCCTTAATGGTTAACCACTAAGGTTTTAATATTAAACTAATTAAGGGGAGATATATCTTGACAAGAACTTGTTCAGCTATAATTATCTACAGGAGAAGCTCTTCTGAAGATTACCCCACATTCAGGAATCAATTGCATGCATTGCCCAATATTTATTCCTGAATTTAGTACAGTCTGTGGCATGTATTTCTTCAGGAATTCCATTTGGCCTCTAATATCTGTGCTTTTAGAAGATCACTGAAGACACATCTCCTTAGCCAGGACTTTAATGTTCATGGGGTCTAAGAGAAAGGAAGGAAGGAAGGAAGGAAGGAAGGAAGGAAGGAAGGAAGGAAGGAAGGAAGGAA